AACAGACAGCATATATTAGAAGAAACTTTAACACGTATACAACAGTTAGTCTAACAGACAGCATATATTAGAAGAAACTTTAACACGTATACAACAGTTAGTCTAACAGACATCGTATGTAGAATGGACTTTAACAGGAATACAACAGTTAGTCTAGCGGACAGCATATGTTAGAGTGGAGTTTCTTCTAATATATGCTGTCTGTTAGACTAACTGTTGTATACGTGTTAAAGTCCACTCTAACATATGCTGTCCGCTAGACTAACTGTTGTATTCGTGTTAAAGTCCATTCTGACATACGATGTCTGTTAGACTAACTGTTGTATACGTGTTAAAGTTTAACACGTATACAACAGTTAGTCTAACAGACATCGTATGTAGAATGGACTTTAACACGTATGCAACAGAAACCAACCTGAGCGGTTAGTCTAGAGCCTTGTAGCAGAAGGTGTTTTATTGTTTCCCTACAGTCAAGAATCTGTTGTTGGCTCTCAGCTTTCGACTCAGGTTTGCCATGAGAATCGACTGCACAGTGGAGAGCAGTGAACCCTGTAGTGAGAAGGATGAATATTGTTAGAGTTTTATACCCTGAACATTGATCATAGTTTAGAGTATTAAATTAAATCTACATTTATTTTTCATATATGCTCTGTAATGTAGCTCACAGCATATACAGGAAGTATATGAAAAATGAGAAAAGTACAAGAAAATAATTCAAGATATTATAGCAATGTCTACAAGACGGAATTCAAACTAAAATAAGATGTACACTTGTGGTGTAGTATTCCGCATCAGTTTTGACTTGTTAAATTGTTGCAGTATTGACGTGGGTTCTACACCATGAAATTAGATTAGTCTTATAATATTAAACGATGAAAACAAGACGAATCTTGATAGAATACTATTTACCATAAGAATTCCGGATGTTTAAGTTTGTTGACAGATGTCCAGATAAACGTTGAACAAGCTGGAGATACCTATCGCCTCTACAAGAAACTGAGTGAAGGGCTGTGTTTCTGTTATTTGACTCCTCCTGAACACAAGGGTCTGCCCCCAAGTATAATAATGCACCTAGAACCGGAGTACAGTATGGCAGATCGATCTTCAGGGCTCTGTGTAAAGCTGTCTGTAACATACGAATATAAGGCAGTGTTCCGTTTTTGTTTTTGTTTTTGTTTTTTATGTGCATTTGTTTGTGTGTGTGTACGTTTAGGTGTGTGTCTAAAATATGAAATCCAAGCTTTTTAGGAATAAAAATTAGTTAGTTATAAACAGTGAAGATCTGTTAAAACCACTTTAACTTAACGATGTGGTAAGCACTGTAAATCACGTTAAATCAAAGTCAGTAACCATAGTGCATTGAGAAGATAGCTGGGAAAAATTCAAAATGGTGTCGGTAGATTACAAAGACTGTGAGTTAAAAAATGGAAACACCTGCTAAAAGATGTGCGCATTCTTCTCCAGATGTTAAATGGACTAAATCATCAGCCAACTGATTAAATTGTTATTCTGATTATGTCTTAAACAGGTGACGTGTATTACTTAAACACATATAAACTCTATTCCATCAGTTGTCAAACAACATAGATAGAAGAACCCGATTAATAGATGATTTAGTGACCCACATTGTACAGCTTCTTAGTTTTACAAGAAGATTAAGAATAAGTCTCGCCAGATAAATGTTAAGATTATTAGAAAATCATGAAGAGAGAACGAGACCGTTGTGCTTTATGTCAGATTGTGTCCTCCAGCAACCTTTCTGGAATTTGCAAAAGCTCCAGTACGAAGAATTGAAGCAGTTCTAACAGACAAATATGGAAACATGTGTTATTAAGCCACTTTCACTGGGTGTTTCCATTTCTTTCCAACCCCTGTATATATATATATGTGTGTATATATGCCACAGTATACTGGTGATATATATATATATATATCATAGTTTCACTAGGTATACCTGTACAAATTCACATTATGAAATTAATCCAAACGTATATATAATACATAAACATTAATCCAAACGTATATATAATACATAAACATTAATCCAAACCGATATCATCTCATAGTTCGGCAATTTTTAAGTCCATTCATATTAAGAACCTTATGTTTACGTTTATAACTTTGACATATATTTGTACTTTATAACAAGTTATAATTGAACCAATAAGATTCATGCATATTTCTCAAGCAGGAAATGGGTTTCTATCCATATATTTGAAAAATTCCATATCGAAGAAACTTTGATTTTCATTATTCTTAATATTATTTCCTAATACTCTTGGTTTATTTCTTTATATCCAATATTTTTTGTTGTATCAAAGTTCTTATCATACAGACCCTCTTTATCAGGAGATTATAATAAAACATTATTATCTACAGAGACAATTTCGCTCCAAAGACATCATATAAGTTGCTTAACCTAACACACACACACACCTATGTCTTCTAGAAGATGTCATACCTTTCCCTTGTGGTCCATAATGTTTAACTGGGTAAAACAGGCTTCGTACGGTTTAGCTTGTTTCCAGAGTTTCATCAATACATAGATATTCTCTAGCTGGCGTTGTTTGATGGCTTTGTGGAGCAAGCTGTAGAAACAGTACAGAAAGGTTTTATGACTTTTATATCAATGAAATTGAATAAAACATTCTATGTTTTATAGCATTAAAATTCAGCAAAATTTTAATGTGAAAACGTTTTCTGGTGATGATTTATCTAGACCTTTATTTGTTTCTAAGAATTATAAAAGTTTAGTTTCTAGCTATCAGAGGGCGCCACTAGATAATCTAGTGTGTTTCGTATAATAAGCACGACAACCGATAGATGTAGTAGCTCGGCTAGGTTAACTCACAGTTGATTTTGATGGTTTAAAACTTTGTAAAGTGAAATAAAAAATAAGAAGACAAAAATTCATTATCTTCTTCACTTTATATTTCAAAAATCAGCAACAGCACACAGACCTGCTGAGGAAGATCATTATTTGTGAGCACTGCTATCCCTCTGGAAGCAACACTAAAGTAACTGGTAGCAGCTTTTGACAGACACTTCAACTTTACCAGCTACATTTACACCATGATAGCTAGAACTACCAAAAAGCATTAATGCACCAAAATGTGCAATAGGAAATAAAACTGAAGAATGTTGCCTGCTTATATTGCCTGGATTATGCTGCTATCAGTATTAATCCGCACAGCTAGATAAGCTAGAAACGATAGAAAATACCTGTTTAAGACTGAATATAGGATGTACTATATTCACCACTATTACATTACAAAAGCTTCAACAGCATAGCAGAACACAAACAGTTCTTATAAGCAAAGATTTTTACTAGGGTCTTGAAGTGTAAAGATCATGCAATACATCATCCAGCCACTGCCTTTTTCAATTCAGACATTCCAGTTCCCCAACAACCCAACAGACATCAACCAAGCAGGGAATTGCTTTAATGGTTCTTCAGGTGACAGTCAGTAAACATGCCACAAACATTATGACGTAGACTATTTACTATATTGATAGTAAGCATGCCACAAACATCATGACGTAGAGAACTATCTACTACATTTGGTAGTCAGTAAGCATGCCATAAACATTATGACGTAGACTATTTACTATATTGATAGTAAGCATGCCACAAACATTATGACGTACAGCACAATCTACTACATTGGTAATCAGTAAGCATGTCACAAACATTTAAAGCAAAACCAGAAGTAGCGACATGGACTGAAACAACGTGGTAAAGCTCTAAAATAATTTGAATACAACGTATTCAACACTCTATACCAGAGACGTTGACTGAAACTATCACAAAGCTTATCCAAATCTAATCTCACTCTTACCTTCCTTGTGCATCTATATCGAATAGAACCTGTTTGTCTCCATTGCTTCTCATTATTTGACTTATGTACTGTTTTTGTAAAATGCGGACTGTTTGCAATTTCTCTGGTGTGTTAAGCATCTCCCTTATTTCGTGAAGACCAGATGTTCTGGAACAACGATTATTTAAGACGGTTTGTCCAACGTCGACACTTTAGAAATTCAAATCATTGTTATTATTATTATTCATTGGAGTCACTAATCAAAATATATTTATCAAAAATCTAGTTTGGTTGGTGGAGTTGTTTCATTTATGTTAACGAAAAAACTACATTATAAACTACCTGCCTTTATCTTACAACGTAAACATATCGATGACCTACATGGGACGTATTACAGACACAGCTCAGTCTGGCATCTTTGTTTTCTTTTTGTTGAGTTTTTGTCAGCCGATACAGAGGTTATGAACGCCAGTACTTCGCGGTGTGGTATGTTACAAGTAAGTATGAAGGATCACTAAGCCGATTAACGTTTGTGCATATACAGGTTAAAATATGTTACATATAATACCACATTAAACTATATTTGTTTAACCATTGTATATGTGCACTACAACATACATTACATACATTACTAATGATAACTATAATATTTAAGTAAGGACTATACAACACACTTTACATACAAAATATTATGAGTACTTATTAAAAATTATTTGTTTAACCTTTGTGTGCATGTGTTACAACATACGCTACATATAATACAAAAAACACTTTTTAAATTATATTTGTTTAACTTTTGTTTTTGTGTGGTACAACGCACATTACATATCTATATATATATATAAAAGCCACTGCTCATATTACAGTAACGCTCAAATTACCTCAGTAGTTAGAGCGCCTGAAGATTAAGCGGAAGTCTGTCGTTCACTTACCAGTACGATTGAGATTAATCATGTATATAAATAAGTGATCAGGTTTAGAGCAAGCTTTGTCAATATTCAGGAAAACACGAATAGCATAATATTTTATATTAGTAGTTAATAACATTGGGTGACAGAGTGGTTCAGTGTTTAATTCTTTGTGTGTGGAAGTCTCGATCTCAAATCTAGTTGATTCGGAATCTTATGTTGTTGTTGTTTTAATAACCTTACTTAAATCAAGTTCTTTCAGCACCATCATAAGTTAAATCAGGAATTATAGATACATGTTTACAGCATCAAGACTCCTCGGCATTTATTTCAATTAAACACTTCTACCTCCATCTATGAACTAAATTCTAAACTAAATTTTTGAATAAAACTACAAAATAGTTCAGAAACATTGCAAAAAAGAAAACGTCGTTCAGCAAGAGGAAGAAAAGGTACATAAATAGCATGACAAAAGCAAGAAAGCATAGCAATTATTAGGATAAGTGACACGGTCGAATAAAGCTCCTGAAGAAGCAAAGGGAAGAAGACAGATTAATGCTGAAAGACATGCATTGAAGACGTGCGTTGAATGGGTACATCAGCTAGTATATATAATAGTACACATTGTACGCGTGCAATACTAAGTAAATTATATATTACATCTTATCAAGCTTACTTGTTAATTTATGTTTACATTGCAATACTTAAGTTTATTCTTCTTCATATTAACTTATGCATTCAGTATCGGACTTTAAAAATTCTTAACAATAATTTGTTTATTAGAAAATGAGCGTCTGTATTCCTGTATAGCAAAAGTGTTAGGTAGAAATTAGCATGGATATTATACTTATCGTTTCACTGTGAAATAATTATTCAGTTTTCTTTGAAACGGAATAGTTAGTTAAGAACTAAAGTTAACAAGTGTCTTGGGTTGCATTATAATTTCATTAATATCACTGGTACATAAGAAATATTAAAAGTTTTATTTAGCTGTACAAAACATTATTCAGGATTATTCAGTAAAATCACCTTACTAACAAGCAAGTCTGATGGTTATTGTAGGAAACTCACCTTCCTTGAAAATGTGGGGAAAATGGGCTTTCTTCACAAAGTTGCTGTATTGAATCTAAACTTAGAATGTTCTCTCGGTTTATACCAGGCTGTTGCACAGACGGTACACTGTCATTGTACATTCTGTGTGTAGAAGTTGGTGCTGGATCGCAAAGCTGCTGTATTGAATCTAAACTTAGAATGTTCTCTCGGTTTATACCAGGCTGTTGCACAGACGGTACACTGTCATTGTACATTCTGTGTGTAGAAGTTGATGCTGGATCACAAAGCTGCTGTATTGAATCTAAACTTAGAATGTTCTCTCGGTTTATACCAGGCTGTTGCACAGACGGTACACTGATATTGTACATTCTATGTGTAGAAGTTGGTGCTGGATCACAAAGCTGCTGTATTAGATCTAAACTTAGATTGTTCTCTCGGTTTATACCAGGCTGTTGCACAGACGGTACATTGACATTGTACATTCTGTGTGTAGAAGTTGGTGCTGGATCACAAAGCTGCTGTATTAGATCTAAACTTAGACTGTTCTCTCGGTTTATACCAGGCTGTTGCACAGACGGTACATTGACATTGTACAATCTATGTGTAGAAGTTGGTGCTGGATCATAAAGCTGCTGTATTGGATCTAAACTTAGACTGTTCTCTCGGTTTATACCAGGCTGTTGCACAGGCGGTACGCTGACATTGTACTTTCTATGTGTAGAAGTTGGTGCTGGATCACAAAACTGCTGTATTAGATCTAAACTTAGATTGTTCTGTTGGTTTATACCAGGCTGTTGCACAGACGGTACACTGACATTGTACTTTCTATGTGTAGAAGTTGGTGCTGGATCACAAAGCTGCCGTATTGGATCTAAATTTAGATTCTTCTGTCGGTTTATACCAGGCTGTTGCACAGACGGTACACTGACATTGTACATACTATGTGTAGAAGTTGGTGCTGGATCACAAAGCTGCTGTATTAGATCTAAACTGTGGATAGAAGTTGATGTTGCATCATAAAGCTGCTGTACTGAATCTAAACTCAGACTGTTCTGTTGGTTTATACCAGGCTGTTGCACAGATGGTACATTGACATTGATAGGATGAACCAAGTCTGTTACTTCACTGTTGCAACCGAAAGCACCTTCTAGGGGGAGAATAGGATATCTCATTTCTCGCAATATACTGAACTCACCACTTGAATTGAGCCCAAACCTAAACTGGGCTTGATGCAAGGGCTCTGATGATAGTTCTGTAACGATGTGTCTAACACCTGACAGAAAGGGCGGCGAAGTAGTTCTCATGGAGTGATGCGTTGAAGATTCTACCACATTTTCTATTCTTCCACCTACGTGAATGCTTTCAATAGTTTGGTTTTCTTCATCTCTCAATATCTCATTGGAGTTAAAGTTTTCAGGAAGATTGGTGCTACTAAAGCTGGAGTTTGGAGGTTCCAACAAAATTTGGTGATTACGAGCAAAGATTTGGGGCTTTGAGTCTTCGATTGGCCTATTTTCCGCATGTCCTGAAAATGTGTCACTGCTGTTATTCATTGGACCTCGAAATATGATATAATTTTGTTTCTCTTATTTTGTCACGCAAGTCTTGTCTTTAGTGACATCAAATGAATATGTCATGTGTCCATTACTCAGAAGCCCCCAACTCCTTCAGTTTATTAATCAGAGAAGAAAGTTTGTCCTCAAATTTATGGTTTTAGACATTTTTGTTGATCTAATAAATAAATGAAAATCTTAGTACGTATGAAAGTGCCAGTTTCTGTAAAACGTTGAACATAATATGAGTTAGATGACATTTAGTAACAACTATATGGAAAATCATTATAAAAAAAACCATTTTGAAGAATCTATATGTCGAAAAAGAGAAACGTATAATATTTGAAACAACTGTAGGGAAAGTTTAACAAAAATGAGAAATGTAGCCGTGGCATAGCGGATCATAGAATGGCTTTGAGTTTTTTTTGTGTTATTTTTAGTACAAACGTTTGGCTCATAGCTCCATCTCTTGACCGATTTGAGATCTAATTACAGCCGAGGCTATTGAAAATTCCCTCTTTTTATATTATAAAAACACTTTCTCGTAAACTGACAATGTAAGGCATTTCACAGCGCTTTGAAGAAAACAACATATGTAAACGTTTTCCAAATCCCATAAGAAACGTTTGTCAGAAATAGAGATTATAATATATTTTTTAGAACCTATGAGGTTTGTTTGTTTTAGGACAAAGTCACATTAGGATATCTGCTGTATCCACCGCAGGGAATCGAACCCCAGAGAGTTGTAAGTCCGTAAACTTACCGTTGTCCCATAGGGGAACGAAACCTATAAGGAAAATCAGTGATAATAAGAAACAGAAGACAGTTTCAGATCGAAGAAGGAAAGTTTAGTTTGGATGAGTTATGATAAGAGTTTGATCCCTGCAATGGGCAAAGCAGATATAGCGCAATGAGCAGCTTTCTACTATTAAAAACAGACATAAATTTAATAACATACACTCGTGCTTTTAAAAACAAATATGAAATATAATAGCATACAGTCGTGCTTCTAATAACAAACAGGAAATAAAATGAAATACAGTCGTGCTATCAAAAACAAACATAAAATTTAATGACATACCTTGGTACTTTTAAAAAACAAGCATAAAACGTAATGACATACAGCTGTGCTATTAAAAACACACATAAAATATAATGCTAACCTTCGTGAAAAGACCAACTGTGAAAAGTGATAACCATTAACTTATAACTCAGTAGAACCTAAGAAACGTGTAAAGAGACCAACCAGAAAATGTGATAACATTAATTTATAACTCACTAGAACTTAGGAAAGGTGTAGAAAGAAATCAACCGAGAAAGATGATAAACATTATTCTATAACTCAATAGAACCTGAGAAAGGTATTATAACCCAGTAGAAATTGAGAGAGTTGTAGAGAGAGAGCCAACCGTGATAGGTGATAAACGTTAATTAATTACTAACTAGAACCTGAGAAGGATGTAGAGATAGACCAACCATGTGATACGGGCAACTTTAATTTATAACTCAGTTGTACTCGGAAAAGGTGAATAGAGAGACGAACTGAGAAAAGTGAAGACAGAGACTAACCGCCAGAAGTGATAAATATTTATCTACATTTCAGTAGAACCTAAAAAGGTTTAGAGAAAGATCAACCAAGAAAGGGAATAAACATTGAACAATAACTCAGTATAACCAAAGAAAGCTTTAGAGAAACCAACCATGAAAGGTTATAACATCATTTCATAACTCAGTGGAAGCTGAAAATAGTGCAAAGAGAGACCAACGGGAAATGTGATAATATTAATTTATAATTCAGTAGAACGGGAGAAAGGTGTAGAAAGAGATCAACCAGTAAAGGTAATAAGTATTAAACTAAGACTCAGTAGAACCTGACAAAGATATAGAGAGAGACCAACCGTGAAAGACGATAAGCATTAACCTATTATTCAGTATTAACTGAGGAAGGTGTACAGAGACCAACCGGAAAGGATGATAACATTTATTTATAACTCATTAAACCCTGAGAAAGAGACCAACCGAGTAAAGTTATAAACATTAATTTAGAATTCAGAAGAACCTGAGAAAGGTGTATGGAGAGACGAAACGTGAAAATTAATAAATATTAATCTACAAATTAGCAGAACCTAAGAAAGGTGAAGACAAAAACCGAACGCGAAAGGTGATAAACATTAATCTACATCTCAGTAGAAGTTGAGATGGATGTATATAGAGATCAACAGTGAAAGCTGATAAACATTTATCTTCAATTCATTAAACCCTAAAAACATATAGAGAGAGTACAACCGTGATAGGTGTAACAGTAGTTAATAACTCAATAGTACCCAAGAAAAGTATAGGGAGAAACAAAACTTGAAAGGTGATAAACATTAACATATATCTCAGTCGAATCTGAGACCAACAATTCTGAGAGAGAGACCAACCATTTGACATGCGTAACTTTAATTTGTAGCTTAGTACTAAAAGTACTGAAAGACTGAAGGCAACAGAGATAAGGAAATAAGTGACTATTCATCATAAAAAAAGGCAGTTCACTACCAAAAAAACAAAACAATTTCTTGCTTCTTTGACTCATAATCCTTCACTCATTGGGTAATTAGACACAGTTAACCCTGAAACTCCAGAACTAAAGAAATCCTATTCAGGTCTTTTCGCGGTATTAGATTAGTAATATTACATCTACTGCTTCAAACATATGTTGACCACACTGTTTTCATTCCATCCATACTTATTAGAGAATTTTCTATATGACGTCTTCCTACAGCACTTCTTATTTTAAAGATGTTAATCACAGATATTGGTATACACCATATTACAAATGTTAATCACAGATATTGATATACACCATATTACAGATGTTAATCACAGATATTGATATACACCATATTACAGATGTTAATCACAGATATTGATATACACCATATTACAGATGTTAATCACAGATATTGATATACACCATATTACAGATGTTAATCACATATATTGATATACACCATATTACAAATTTTACTTCTGTCAGACAATAAACAGTTCCATTCAACTTACTGACTGTGACAGCCGACACCAATATATTCTTGTTCTCTTCTTTTCGTAGACCTAAGAAGCAAGTGCTTAACCATGAAAAGACAGCATATCACCAATAGCACAGCATCATCTGCAAGTTTTCTTTACATAAACCAAAGATGCAAATTCTTGATCGTGATAGGACAGCACGTGTCTAATAACACAGTATTATCATCATGTATATTTTCTTCACATAGACCTACCAAGACCTTGATCGTGATAGGACAGCACATGTCTAATAACACAGCATTATCATCATGTAAAGTTTCTTCACATAGACCTACCAAGACCTTGATCGTGATAGGACAGCACGTGTGTAATAACACAGCATTATCATCATGTATATTTTCTTCACATAGACCTACCAAGATCTAGATCGTGATAAGACAGCACGTGTCTAATAACGCAGAATCATCTTCAGGTTAATTATTTTTCCATAGATCTACCATGACCTTGAAACAACATCGCATCATCAAGAACATGATTTTTCAAGTCTAAGACAAAAACTATTTACAGTTGAACGAAAGTATATCATCAAATATGAAGAATCTTCAACTTCATTTTATTTTCCTAACTTAAATTCCAAACAGATTACTATGACGTAAATAACTCTAGCATCATTTTCTAACACATTAGGTGGAAAATGTAAAAAGCATAATTCAACCACTCATCTAACCTATTTAAGATGATAATCGTATTACTCATTTAATCTTCATTACGTGATCATTATAGCATTTCTCTAATCTTTATAACGTGATAATTATACCATTCACCTGATATGTATATAGCATGATAAGTATGCCACTCATTTAATTTATATAACATGATAGTTGTATCTCTCATGTAATCTATCTAACATGTTAGTTATACCTTCAATTTTGTCAATATAAAATGATAATAACATACTAATTATACCATTCATCTTAGGTATATAACATGAAAATTATACTACTTACCTGATGTTTATAACACGATAACTATATCTCACACGGGATAATTTCTAAAATAGAATAAAATTCATTTCATGTATAAACTAATTTACAAACTACTTCGCAGTTTTCATTGTTGCTATTATTGTTTTACAACTATTTTGAAGTAGCTAACCGATTACTATATATATATACACACATACACACACACACATATTCAAATTACGACGTTAGTACGTTTCCTGTGGGAATTCGTCAAGGCAAAACCTCAGTAAAGGAAGAGATGTAAAACCCGATATCTAAATTCTGCCTACAGGAAGTGTGGCTACGCCGTGTGCAGAATGAGGAAATTTTCAACTCTTTGTATTTTTTATTGCTTTTCTCTTCAGAGTAACTTTATGGTGTATTTATTTGTAATCGAGTGTTTTGACGAACTTTAAGCAAACTTTCACTCTCTTACCGAGACATTTTACACTGTACTCTACTACTCCTCCACTAACCCAAATTACTCAGTTACCAAGACATTTTACACTGTACTCTACTACTCCTACATTAACCCAAGTTACTCACTTACCGAGACATTTTACACTGTACTCTACTACTCCTCCACTAACCCAAGCTACTCAGTTACCGAGACATTTTACACTGTACTCTACTACTCCTCCACTAACCCAAGCTACTCACTTACCGAGACATTTTACACTGTACTCTACTACTCCTCCACTAACCCAAGTTACTCAGTTACCGAGACATTTTACACTGTACTCTACTACTCCTACACTAACCCAAGCTACTCACTTACCGAGACATTTTACACTGTACTCTACTACTCCTACACTAACCCAAGCTACTCACTTACCGAGACATTTTACACTGTACTCTACTACTCCTCAACTAACTCAAGTTACTCACTTACCGAGACATTTTACACTGTACTCTACTACTCCTACACTAACCCAAGTTACTCACTTACCGAGACATTTTACACTGTACTCTACTCCTCCTCTACTAACCCAAGTTTAAAATGTCTCGGTAAGTGAGTCACTGTACTCTACTACTCCTACACTAACCC